AACAAAGACATGCTCGAGTTTTGGTGTATTTGATAGATTTATGTTTTAGTATGTTAACTTAAAATGAGCTTGGGTTGATCTATAGTATCAGCTGTAAGTGACAGATTATCGACTTTGTAAACGAGTTTTGGGTGCCACTTGTACCTTTTAAATAATTTTTTTGGGTTGATCCAAAAAAAAAATGAGCTTGAGTTTTTGCTAAGGTATTTGAGCTTGGCTCGTTTGATTATATATATATATATATATTTTTTTTTTCCATAAAATTTACATTTTGTCTCGTATATCCAACTTCTAACTCAATCTTAAATCTTGTGTTTGGTCTAATGAGATGAGACCTGATTTTTTAAACTTCTTCGAGGACCAAGCTCTATCAAACCGAGATGGCATCTACTAATGAGGTTTCAATTACTGTGGCTGGGCTCCTCTCGTTGACAACCCCTACTCCCATAAGGATTTGCTGGCAATCACAAGCCAAAAATTCAAATCAACTGCTCAAAGTCACCAAATTTTTCCAACTTTTCTTTATCATTGTAAAATGTAATGTCAACAGATGAACAAGGTCCTCTTTTCCCTAGACACAAGTCCAAATCTACAAATCCATCAAACTCAAAACTCTTACCTAATAATAGGAGAAAAAAGGATCTAATTCTACCAAGAGCAATGGTCATTTCTGTCCCACATTTACACTAGTATGTAAATCATTAATCCATCTTTACCCTCTTTCCCTTAGCCTTGTCTGATATCCCAGATGATGAACCAACCTCATCCTCACTCTTCCTTTTCCTCAAAACATCCCACTTTGCCTCCTTGATTCTCACTTCAATTTTCCTCAGTTCATCCTCAGCTTCTAGCCATCCTTTGTCACATTCACCCAGCACATCTGGGTTTATTGTCTTTCCAGTTGGAATGCCTGAACGCTCCAGCACACCCCACAAATGCATAATCATCTCACGAATTGAATCAACCATCTGATTGAAATCCATCTTCTCGTACAATGCTGCCTGCAGGGCACCAATTCCATTTCCAGAGGATGATCCTGATGATCCCTCCACCCGAGGCTGCATTTCAAGCAGAAACATGATTCTATACACCACTGTCGGTACCATCCCATTCATGTTCTGTGTCAGTTCTCTGAGCGAATTTCTCAGATTCTGGAGCTTTTCCGATGCTTCTTCGTTGCCGTACATCAAAGAGTGAAGATACAGAACAAGGTCATAGATTGCAGTTTCCAATTGCAAAATCCTGTCCCTTAGGTTTTTCAGATGCTCTCCCTCATTCGTAGGTATTACTGATTTCAAGATTTCAAGACCTCTCCAATTCAAGATTCCTGATTCTGATGAACAAAACAGTAATCTAGAATCTAGATTTGGTTCGTCAATCTTCGATTCTATAGCGATATTTATCTCTTTTTGCTCGGCCTCCTCTGGGCTAAATCCATACAACCTAATCATGACGTTGCACCCACTCCAATTCTGATCATTACCTGATGAATTTGTATCTGATTTCGTCGCTCCGATTGGCTGCATCTCTTTAATTTCTTCTTTGAGCAATGCCTTAAGATTCACCATCATAGATTGGCCGTGTTCTTCAGCACTACCGGGTACAGCGACAGAACTCGCGGAATCAGCCACAGAACCGTCAGAAACAACCACAGCATTGAGAGGAACAGCAACAAGCTCTGGAAAATCATCTAATTCCACAAAATCAGACGAAGCCTTCACATCAAGTTCTTTCAGTTCGTTCTTATAGTGTTGAATCCCTTGGAGAAAGGCTTCCTGATTATCTTTCCCCAATTCGCTTAGCGATCTTCCAATCTCCATTTCCAGCACCAAAGGATCAAGATTCTGAAGGCCGGATGGACAGAACTGCTTCGCAAATTCTTGAAGCCTCGCGTTCAGATCTTCGAATTTCGTCCTCAACGACACAGTTCCGACGTTCAGATCTGCTTCACCGATGCTGTTGTCGTTGAACGGTGCTTGCACGAATTTCTCGATCTTTTGTCCCGTCTCTAATATCCGTTCTTTGAGGTCAAGAAACATGGCATAAAGGTAGGAAGAATCATCTTTGTTACTGCTGGAAGCCATTGCAGACGATGAGACCAAGAAGTCAAGAAGAGGGACGCTATGTGAGAGAGAGAGAGAGTGAGGAAGATGATGAGCTTTTGGCGCCAAAGCAGTTGGCTGTTGCTATTTATTTATTTTTTTTCAGTTATAAAAAGGCTGACAAGTGTTGGGCTGCTAGTTGAAATATTATTGGGTTTGCTTACTAGCCCAATATATTGACCCAATATTATTGTAATATTAGGCTATTTTGTTTCCTGTCATGGTAACGTATGAAGTGGGCTTAATCTGCATGGTTGTCAGCCTTTCTAACATAGATTTTTTAACCATACCTAAAGTCTCCCAAGCATTATATTTAGAGTTTAGGATTTATTCGTATTACTTTTTAAGAGAAAAATTATTTGAAAATTATATAATTTTAATAAAGTATTATAAAAATATAAAAAAAACACTTTAATTTATATTTTAAGAATAGGATATTTTAGTATCTTTTAATAAAAATTTATTAAAATAACGTAATTTTGAGATAATTTTCTTCTAATTTTTAAAAAATAAAATGGATAAGTACTATTTCTTTATATTTAAAGTTATATTAGTGTAAATTACACGGGTCAAATTTTAAATTAGCAATAGTTATGATCACCATAATTTTGGTTAAGATCATTAAAGATTTTAAATTTTTATCTTCATTTAACTATTAAAAACAGTTGATAATTAATAAAATAATTATTAATTATTATTTAATATTTCAAAATCAATTTATAAATAGATATTTTTAAATATCATAATCAACTGTTTAAAAAAATTATAAATTGATAAAATTACAATTAAATTGATAGTCTTAACAAAAGTTATTGTGGCAATAACCTCAGTCATTTAAATTAATTGAATATGTTTAATTATTTTCATAGTTGACTTAATTCTAGATCCTAAATAATGGAAAATACTTTTTTTTTTTGCTCTTGTAGTTATAGATATCAGATAACCTTAAAATTTGACATGTATAATTTCCATAAATAGAATGTTAAATCTAATTATTGGTTTGACAAAATACAAATTGTATAAAAAATTATTGACTTGTATGAGTTACACTAATGTAAGTTGATCTTGATTCTATATTATAAAAAAGAAAATTTGTTTATCAATTGAACATGTAGAATTATAAGAAAAAATACTCCTAAGACTATTGTAAATAAATTCTCATTAAAAATAAAAAAAACAAAATAATTTATATTTATAGCGTAAACAAAACTCTTTTCTTTTCTTATCCTAGCTTAAACACCATCTCATTGTCTAAATATATGGGACCTTCGTTGCAAATTTAGTATTTTGAAACATTAGAGGCTTTGAATAAAAAATTCATGGCACAGCTTGCTGCTTCTACTATCTTTTAGTTGATTTCTGCACAGAGCCACAGAGGATTTGAAACAACAGTCCCGAAATTCTTGAAGAAATCATTCCCTTCATCTCAATTCCAAATAATAAGTAAACAAATAAATGAAATCCAATCCTAAAAATGAAAAAAGGCAAATATATATATATATATAACCAAAATAATGAAATATAAATTTACAACATTTGGCAACCTCAAAAACATAGTTACACTGCAGTCAATGTATAATCAACAAGAACCAAAGCCAAGATAAACAGCACACAGACCAATCAGATTCTGGATATCATCGTTGGTAGAAAGAGCATTCTGCAACTTTCAAGAGTGAATTCTTCAAAGAAAAATGTTGGGTAGTGAGGCTGTCTCGGCAATGTAAAAGATGATCAATGGATTACAAAGGTATAAAGTCAGTCATTCCCCACATCAGAAGCTTCTCAGGTAGTGAGGCTGTCTCGGAAAAAATTCAAGTGGATATATGTATACAATGTATCAGTGTATGATGTATCAGTGTTCAGTATGTAAGTGGCCTTGCACAAATGGATGCCCCCATGAATATAATCAGTGAGTACTTTGGTTAAATGATTGTTTAAATGGATCAACCCAACATTTATCCTCATTCACTGCATTTTCCCATCTTTTTCGGAAGATCTGCATCTCAATGAAGGACTGTTTTCTCACCTGTATAGCATAGATAAGGAGAGTTGCCTTGTTTAGAATATGTGAAACAAAAATTAATGTCTATAGAAAATGTAATATAGCTAAGGAGGCTTACTTCAAGTCTGTTATCAACCTTTTGGGACTCAGATGGTGCCTGCAGTTCCAAAGATGACCATGGTCATTTAAATCAATGAAGAATCTTGTCAAGGCAAACTCGAATTGAGGTAACATACCGTTGCTTCTGAGCTAGAATATTTCCCGCTTTGAGTGATACCAGGTTGTGTAGCATTAAACTGCATCAACGAGTAGTAGGTGATAGAAAGTTAGCCTACATAAATGTAATGGCTGAGAAGCTCCTGCTAGATTAATTTGAAAGAATCTCTCGAAATCATGCCTAGACCTAAAACCCTCAAAAGATACTTGCCTCATTTTCAACCTTGAAACCAAGCGTAGGAAGACCATGATGAACTATGTACTCTGCATCAACCACGCCAACATTTTTCATTCGATCACCCTGAAAGATAATCTGAATATCATTGCTATGCCCAAGAGATTTAGAAGAATAAGAAATAGGTATCAAAGAGTTACTTGTGCACAATAACCAAGCTGTGTATCCAGGCCCCACGCATGGATTAGATCATTCTACCAAGGAGAAAGACAAATTAGTGAAATTAGAAACAAGTGATTAGAAAAAGATAGATGCAATTAATTCTGCCATGGTAAAGTCAAATCAAGGTCTCATTAAAATTCTGACACAATTCCAATGAGGTTTTGGTTTGAGCCCTCTATTCTCTAATATGAAAAAATAAATTAGGAGAATTGTATATAATATAATGTATGCAACATTGGCAACCTTCTGAGCAATTATGCCTCTATATGTCTGAGTACTGAGAAGGCACTAGTTACCTGGATCATATACCATGCACATCGCCAAGCAGCTCTTGAGAACACAGGGGCCATCATTTCCACCCAACTGTAAACAGTGAGGGAAATATTATAGATGATCATGTTACGAAGGGTTTAACCACTTTGATAAAAAGAATGCTAAAGTGACTTAATCATAGCTTTACCCTATGCATGGAGGGGCAGTGCTGTGGTCATCACACCTTCTGCTGCCTTTAAATTTGTACATCCTTCTGTTTAAACATCGTGAGATTGTAAGGGTCATAACTAGCCAGCTTAGGAAGGAATCCTAAAGAAAAAGGAAAATGAGGAACCAGATTTCCACTGTATATGCCACTAACCTATGCAACCTTGATTTGCTCCTACGTGCTGTAATTTGATGATGCACCTCTGACCTAGAGGGATCCAGTGCTGGCTGTGATATCTCAAGTCCCTCATCTTCAACGATTGTCAAGTATCTGGAAAATATATGATATGTTCAGGTTCAAGATTTGAACTCATAGTTTGTGCACAAGGAAAAGTGAGAGGGAAAGTGAACCATAAAGCACCTTTGTATCCAATCTTCTCTCAGTTTTTAACATAGGGAACATCAAATCCCATTGACAGAACTCAATGCAGAACATGGTTATGACTTACCGTCTTGGATTAAAATGCTCTACCCCAAGGTCCTCATCCCAGAGGAATAAATATTTGTATCCAGCAACAATATCTGGATGCAAGAAACGCTTGGCAAACCACCTATGACATCAAATATCAGCATTTAGCTATCTTGCAAACGAGTAACATGTATTGTACTATTTAAGAAAAAAAAAAAAAAAGCACTACCATTTCGTTTGATTTACTGCAGACAAGTGTATTACTTGATTGCTCCATTCTAAATCATGCCATTCATCCACAATGCCATCATAATGAAAAAGCATCACAACAAAGTAGTCTGAAGGAAACTGCAACAAGAAAGGGGGATACTGAGAATAATTAAGATAAAAAAAAACCTATTGAAGATAAAACGAATTCAAGAATTATGCATACCTTTTTAACAATTTTATCCACAATTTCTTTTTGCTTAATTCCAACAGCAATGGCTAACAAGCTCTTAGATCGCTTTGAATTAGCCTGAAATTGCAACAAAAGACAGGCTAATAAGCATTTATTCTCTTTATTTTTTATCTCAACTTAAAACAAGCGCATGAAGCTATTAAATTGAACATTTTATTGGCAATATATTAAACAGTACATTTTCCATGGTGTCACTCCATAAAGGTTGCATCTCCAAGTTAGATGTTTTGACAACAATTCTTCTAGGTAATGCTTCACTCCCAGGAGCTCTGCATTGTTCCTAGATTAGAGCAGAAAATAAAAGATATATCAGAAAACATTTTTAAAAAGCTCAAACAGACTGATATAAAAAGGATTATTTTTCTGAAGGAGACAAACCTTGCATTTATTGGATTCTGCATTCTGCATTAGACTAATCACCCCCCATCTTGATACCCTCTGCATATATGATTTACAAAGTAGATAATACTGATCAAACATATAGTCACATACAACCTTATTAACTTCCAAGACATCCATCCCTAAACAAAATTTCATTCGAACTGCAGAAATCATTCAAGTTTCTTCAAGTAAATTTCAAAAGAAGCTACACACACCTCTTTATATTCGTTTGAGGTGAACACACTACTAGTGAAGTAAGCACCACAAATCAAAGAAGCTACAACGAAGAGACTGCAGAGGCATGACCTACTCTTGGAATCTGATAGTGCAGAACCCTGGAAGGGAAGCAAATATCATACAATAAGCATGAGAAATGACAATCACAAGTCAATTATGCAGTGATCGGATTAGAATATTAAACTGCAATAATGAATTTGATTAAAGATTACTAAGCTGACAAGTAAGAGAGACCAACTGCGAAATCAACTTCAGACATCTCTTAGGTTGAGTCAAACATAGATGCTGAAGTGTCTTAAATCTTAACACAAAGTGATTAGCTATGGACTAACCTTGTTTAATAACATAACAAAGATGGAATTATGGGGAAAAAATGTAGTAAATTGAACATTTAAAAAGTCAAATCTATTCCTTCTCCTGTCTTCCCAGGTCAACCCTCCCCCAACCCCCCGCCCCCGCAAAAAAAAAAAAA